ATAAATCTGACCTTAGAGCTTTGCCCGGAATCTCGATTACTCGAGGAAGAAGAAGATTCTGAGCGCCAAATCATTTACGAAAGACACGTTTCAAACAGGTCAATTGGTTAGATGATATCGGGCTTCATTTGATCGATGGTTTCCCTTTTTGTTCTTATTGATATTGTTATTGAATTATTAATATTGTGATTGTTAAATTCATTTCTGTATTAATTAATTCATAGAAATAAAAGTTTAATTGCCCAAATTTGAGGTACTACCAATTAAAGAGACAAAAAGAATTTTCAATTTTTGTTACAGTTGAAGAAAATCGGCGACAATTTGAATAAACTTTCCCGTTGTTTAAAATTTCCTTCCAATTCTTTTAATTGCTACTGAAATCTCTCTTCATCTTGTTCTTTCTCTCTCTCTCCCCTTTTTTCTCTTCTTATCGCTCTTCGTTCATTTCTTTTTCTTTCTTTTAACTTTCTTGAGATTCATTTCCATTATTCATTTCCATTTTTCTATTTTGATTTAAATATATAAATTATGTTTAATTTCTAGACATATTACATATGATGTTTTCTTTTTATTTATTTTTTATTTTTTGTTTATTCTTTGTATAAAAGTAATACTTCCATAACTTTGTTAATAGTTTTCGTTTAATTATTGAATTAATTACACTAATTGTATCTCAGTTATTTAAAAATAATCGAATTTTTTCTAGCTGAATTATTCCATTATTTTCCATTTTATTTTGATTTCTTATATCTTTGATATTGTACAGTGTGTGGTAAATAAATGTGAAGAAGTTCCGTGAGGAAAAAAAAAATACAAATAAATCATAAATGAATGTATCGTCACCATCGTTGTCATAGTAGGGTTAACAAACGAAGATATGTGAAAGACTATTGTGACCACGCATGTTACAGATGCGGGTGATGGCTAAAAACGCCAATGCGGGATTGACAAGTTCGGTTGCAAAAGGCATAGTGGAAAGTCTCTGCTTAGGTGATATTGATGAGGTATGGTTTTTTCGTGTTCTGGAAGGAAGCAGCAATGTTATGGATGATGTGTCACCATGCTTTCCGATTCAAAGCCCGAATGGACCATTGATGGTAGTCTAAATAGCCAAGATTAAGGTATTGTTTCAGAGCATCCTTGTATCTCCTATTTGAGGCTTTTTTCTTGCAGAACGCGATAGCCAATTCGTCATAGAGCACAATCTTAGGATGGCGATGATCCTTTATCCTGGAGACCTGTCCAGCCCAGCGCAACTATGTCTTCAATAGTATGACCTCAATACTGATGACCCCTGCTTGTGTGTGAACAGTAATATTTGATACGTAGTCAGATCAGCGGATGTTTAGGACTGTACGGAGATAGCGCTGATGGAAGCATTCGAGGAATCGCGAATGGTGGTAGGTGACCCATGATTCAGAATCATATATAATAGAATAGACAGTGCAATAGTTTTACACTAGTCTTGGTACTTCTCTTCAGGTGTTTTTATTACACCAAACTTTTTTATGGAGTTTCTCGAAAGCTCTGTATGCTTTTGCTAATCTGCTGTCAATATCTTTGTTAATCTTGATGTCGGAAGAAGTGATGTTGCCCATATAGTTGAACTGTTGGACTGATTTATACTCTGATTCACCTGAGGTAATGCGAGGATGAAAGTTGTCATCCTGTGGTGCAGGATGATAAAGAACTTCTGTCTTCTTCAAGCTTACTTCTAGCCCAAAAAGCTCTACTACCTTTGCAAAACAGGATGTTAAGCGCTACAGGGTTACTTCTGTGTGAGCAAAGAAGGTGACATCGTCGGCAAAAAGTAGTACTTGAATATGGCAAGTGGTAATTTAGGATCTTAATGAGAGCTTTCAGTCGTCTCAAGTTGAATAGGTGTTCGTCAGTACAATATCGGATATAAATGCCATTTTCTTCATCTAAAATCCATCATAACCCTTTGGAGCATTATGTTGAAGGAGACTGTGAAGATAGTTGGTGCAAGAAAATCTCCAAGAGTGCATCACCGTATCTTATTTAGCCTCGTTGATTATTATGTAATGAAGAAGACATCCTAATCGTCCCAAGATCTGTCATAGGACTTTTTTTGCTCATAATGTTCAAAGTTAGGTAAGGTGTAAAAAGGTTCTATAAAAGACGTTTGTTCTGTTTCCTGTATTTTCTTTACAGTTGTCGGAGAACAAACATCATATCTGTGGGTACTCCTATTTGGTCTGAAGCAACACTGGTTTTCACGTAAAACTTTTCTAATATATCGAGTATCAATCTGTTCAGAAATATTCTTGCAAGAATTTGACAGTAAGTTGATATCTCGGTAATTTGTATAATTTTACTAGTAATTTGTTTGATTTCTCTGATAATTTGTGTAATTTTTTCTAGTCTGATTTTACTTCTTACTTCTTGTATACAACGATAATGATTGCATCATGGAGATTTGATGTAAGTTCACCTTTTTCCTAACATTGCAGAACAAGCTCGTGGAATTTATCACGAAATGCCTGATCTCCGTGTTTCCAGACCTCAGATGGGATGCTATCATCAATCCTAGCTACCTTATCAATATTCACTTGTTGTATGACTTTGAGTTCTCTGTATAGCCAAGGTTATATCCAATTCGCTTTTCATTAATCGTTGTGTAATGTACTGAGTTAATGAGTCTTGAATTGCATAGTTGGCATTGAAAGGATTCTGGAAATGTTCAGACCATCGATCTAGGATAGAGGTTCTACTAATGAAAATCGTTTAGCCATCTGCGCTGAGTAAGGAACTTTGACCAATGTGTGAGTCCATACACAGCTTTCAGAGCCTCGTAGAATCTCTGAAGTCGCTCGAATCTGCGCATAGTTGGATATTTTCAGCTAAGTTGATTCAGTATTTGTTTCGGATGACTCGAAGTTTCTGTTAAAGCTTGCTGGATACAAGGCTAAAGGTGTCTTTTCTCATATGGCAAGATGACTGAACGAGATATACTTGGTAAGAAAAAATCTGGACTTCTTCATTGTTTTCATCAAACTAGTCTTTATTTCTTTTGCAGGAGAATCCTAATGATTCTATGAAAGATTGCTAGATGGTGGTTTTAATATGTTATCAAAACGCTTCAGGGGAGGGATTTGTAGGGTGATCTTGAAGTCTGATTTGAAGATTTATCTGGAAGCTATCTTTCGCTGAAGGTGTTTGGAGATTGTTCACTTTGAGCCTCCTTCTTTTTTTCCTGAATTCTGCCTCTCTCAGGATTTCAGGATTCAGGAAACCTCAGTTAATGAGATTCCAATGCTTGGATCAAAGATGTATCCAAGTTGTCTTTAAATTGTCTCTCTGCTGAGAGACAGTGTTTGTGATGGTGAATTGCTGCTCTGCATAAATTTCACCAAAAGCTGTCCATTGTCGTTGCACTTTCCAATGCCATGCCTGCGTTATACAGGGCCTTTCCAGGCCTTGGATTTCCTTCTAATTTCAGCACTGAAGTCACCAAGAATTGTGACCTCATCATTTGGAGAAATCTGTTGAATAAGACGGCCTAAATCGGTATAGAATCTATTTTTTTTCCACAGGGTCAGCTTGCAAAGTTGGAGCATATATGCTGAAGAGAATAACTTGCTGTTTATTTGTGTACTGTAATAGGATGCGAAAGGAGATAATACGATCGAAATGACCTGTCGACAGATTTTCAAATTTGAAAGCGATGGGATTTTTAACCATCAAGCCAGCTTCTGAACAGTAACTTTCCAGTTTGGGTTTTTCTAACCAGTAGAGTATGTAACGGAGCCATATTCATTGAGAGTACTGTCCTCATGGAAACGAACTTCACTGAGAACAACAATGTCGTGATAATTCGTGAACAACAAAAGCAGAACGACGTTCAGGACACTAGTCGCATTATCAATCATGATTCTGATGATGTTTCAACACACGAATTAGATCCTTCCCCTTATGGCCAATTTGTGTACACTTTTAGAAGCAGATATCTTTGTCGTTTTGTCTTTGTTTGACCGCGTTTACCCATTTCCCGCGGTTAGCCAATTGGGCGGAGATGGAGATGAGATAGTTGGATTGCCTTTTCTAGGCCACTTCTCTGTATGGAACGGGCAGGTTTGTTTGGCCTGAAAAAGGCTGCTTGGTTGTTCAAGAATGCTGCCGAATAAGACCATCATCTCTAGGGTCAATCTCGAACGACCAATGTCTTGAATCGCCTACATGCAAGATTCGGTCTGCGGCTTACAATATATCTTGTCACCTACTGTTTCATCTATTGCTTGCCCCCAAAGGATTTTAAAAAAATTTTTCTATTTTTTTCTGCAATTTTCCGGATCATCACCAAACATTAGTTGCAACAATTGCGCTAAAATTTATCATTGTTTAAAAAGTTAATTTTGTTGTTTTTGATCGTCGAGTTAGTTCTTTTTGCACATTTTAAAGTATTAACTCGAAATTATTCTTATACATTTCCAATGTTAACAATCGTTTCTTTTCCGTTATTTATTAAATTTAAAATACCTTTATTATAGTTAACTATATCTGCATATTGATCTTCTTCTTGCTTTCCACGAATTTCTTAACAAATCCCAGCCATCTTTCATTAAATGATTGCAACATTTCCAATATACGCTTCATTTTCACTTCATTTGATTCCATTTTACATTTTGCTATTGTTGAAATTGTTCCATTTTTGGTAATTTTTGATCAGATAACTTCAAAATTGAATTCTTTAATTTCATTGAGAAGTCTTTCGATTTTTTCTTCTATTATTTGTGCTGCTTTGACATAATTTTTCAGCTTATGATACTAAATTTTTTTTTCTTTTATGAAAGTTCTGTATATCCTTTGATTAGTATAGACGAACAGTTGTGATAAAATGATAAAAGTTTAAACAATAGACGAAGTAATCTGATTTTATCAAACAATTATTACAGAAAATCGGTAATATAATTGTTGATCAGTGAGTTGAATTAAAGACTGGAAGATTGTGAGACTTTTTTTTTTTTTTTAATTGAACGATTGGTAGAAGAATGATCGGTTAGATAACTGATGCTTGTTGACAATTTTGACTCCTTTTATACATAGCGAAGTTGTTTACAATATAATGGCAGTTATTTGCGTCATGATAATCACAAGTTGGATAGTTGAATTTTTTTTTTTTATTTGAGAGATAAATGACAGATGAATAAATAAATTTTATTTGGAGAATATTCTAATTCCAAATAAACAACTTACTAAATAAACATGATAAATGAAAGATGAAGAAATAAATCTAAATAAACGACTTTTCTACTAATATGAATTTATAGCAATTTATTATGAAATATTTTTATAATGCAAAAATTAATTATTTCAACATATTTTAATAGTAAAAATTTTTCTTGGCTTTTCGAATAATTATTTCAGATGGAACACGTACGTGAATCATCCAATAATTTTTGCATACATTGCCAGCTTGATATTCATTTATCATAAAAATACAGATGGTATCAAATCTTTCGGGATTTTTTTGAAGCTACCAGAAATAAAATCGACTCTAATTACAAACATTAATTTTTCCATTCATAAAAAAAGTTTACAATTTGAATTTTCGACCGAATTGATTCAAAACATTAAGCATAAGTTACATACATGTTGTAGAATTTTTGGAAAATGTTTTAATGGTATGAATCGAGAAAAAGAGGAATCGAAATTGAATTGGAATAATTTAAAAAAAAAAACAAAAACAAAGGTTAAAAATATATGGTTGAAATTGACATTAATTAAATTAGGATATTCTGTAAAGAACTGTTAACAGCGTATTCAAAAACCGAATAATTTTTAACCTTGATCGATAATACGATATGGGAAATATCTGTGAAACTTTGTCGTATGATACTTTTTATAAGTGATAAAAAAAATAACGGGAAAAAACGACTAATGGTTCTAACAATTTTTTTACCAAAACGAGAAAGTATTTCAACCAATAATTTTGACATTAATTCATCAAAGAAGTGAAAGTAGAAAAGTTAATCTTTTTTAATTCTTAATTAATAAATACATGTATAGTAGTTAAAATTTTGCTTAATAACTGATAAATATGAAAGTATGAAAAATAAATGTGCGATCCTTTTTATGAGATTAATTTATTCATATAATAAGTTATTATCATATTTATCACATATTCTTATCAATAATACATTTAAATAAACTGAAAGTTAATTTCATTGCAAAAAAGAAATGATCCATTTTATTTTTTGAAATGATTGTTTTGCGTAATTATTATAAAACTTTTCGTTTGAATTTGGATAACTGACTATTGGATTCATTTGTTTTTATGTCCCATCATTTTTCCTCTGTACCGTACGACAATAAAGTTTCGTCACACTTCTTTCACTGCTGTACTGTATTGTATTGTATTTATATTCATCCTTGTACTGGATGACAGTTATTCTATCTGTTATACGATGAAATTCTAGCACATTACTTTTTCATTACCTCCTTTTTCACTGTTCTTCTCATACTCAATATTTATACGGTAATGATACTGTAATTGTTGTTATCGTATCACGTTGCTGATACTACAATTATTCTATTAATGAACGATGAAATTCCATGCAAGCTATATCAGTTTGCAATATGAATTGAAATTGTGCAATATTCTTTATACTTACTGTTTAAAAATATGAAATTATAAATCACTCTCTCTTCAACTTGAACTGGTTTACAGTTTTGAAAATGATTACAATGACAATGGTGACAGTGATTGATGAGCAATTTTTTTCTTTTTTCTTTTTCTTGTTTCCTTTTCATTTATTTTCCATTTTCCCACCCCATTTTTATTTTATGAATCCTAAAAACAAACATTTCTTGTTTGCTTATTATTAACTGATAATAATCGTGTAGTTATCTGGTACTGTAATCTTATTTCACTTCGTATTTGCCTACTGTTAACTGATATTCGTGTAATTATTTGTATAATTATTCCACAATCTTATTTCATTTCCTATTTTTCTATTGTTAGTTAATATTTTCCTGGTTATCCAGTGTTGTGATCTTGTTTCATTCCCTATTTGCATACTGTACAGCTGTCTGGTACTGTAATCTGATTTCGTACTGTAAACTATTTCAAAAAGCCAAATAATGGCAAATTTTGCATTTTTGCTCTTTGTTTCATTTTTCTGTGAAAGTTCGGCTCATACCAATAAACATTCATCCTGGTCAAATGACGATTCAACACTTGGCCATGATAAGGTATTTTTTTTTTTTAATTTGAAATAATTTTTCCTTTTTTTTTTTGAATACTTTTTTTTTTCGAAGAAAGGGCAGAATGATTTTTCCAAATTATTCGCTATGCTTTGTTTTTTTTTTTTTTTCATTAAAATA